AAGGAATTGCCAGGTCTCTTTGAATAATTTATTTGCATTGGTAGGATTTACTCATGTATGCCAGGAAGAGTCGGTGAAAAATCAAAGTTTCAAGACGTACAGAAGCAACCAGCCTTTGATGGTGAGAGATGAGGAAATGCGTAATTTAGAAGTGTTGCCAGAAAAAGTAGTAATATGTGGAATCTGTGTTGTTCCATTCTATCAAATGAGGTTGGAGCGTCCGGTGCAAAGTGGTGAAGTGGTAGCAGGAGTCATCGAGCAATTCTTGCTTCCAGATAACTGGTTTATGTTATTAATGATATGGTTAGAGCACAGGCAGGAGTGATGTCTCCTGTGATTGAAAAGCCAGTGGAAAACATGGTAACTGAAATGTTACAGGAAGCATATCCTGGGATTTTCCTGACTGTTTGGTCACAAGGTCCCAAAGCTACAGCTGGAAATAGGAGGAGAAATCAAAGAATAAAGATAAAGAAGTTGAAGTTCAATTATCAGAAACTACGTTTGATCAAATGTTGTGGAGGATAAAGTGGATATTTATAATTCAGAGAAGTAAGCTGAATTACAACAGAAAGATGCTTTCTGATATCAAAAAACATACACAGAAGAAGAACCTGAGTCCATCCCAGAATGTTAAAATCTTAAAAAATGAAATCTTAATGAGGAAATGGAGAGCATCACATATTCAGGCAGATGAGGAGTGGGCAGACGTTTATCAAGTGGTATTACTATTGAGTTATAGAATGGAGGTATAGCGGGAAGCACATGTTTTGCCTATAGGAGCTCATTCGGGAGTAGGAAAACTCAAGCGAAACGCACCTCCCTCCCAGAAAAAAAATACATTTCTATTGGCCTGGACTGCATTAGGATGTGGTTGACTTCTGCCAGACACTTCATCCGTGTAATAGGAAAACTACAGGCCGTGTTAAGAGCAATACACTTCATACCCACTCCCGCTTTTGAGGAAACTTTTACAAGAATCTTAGTTGACTGCTTAGGAAAACTACTTTTTGGAAAAAGTGGGAATCTGTATTTGTTGACCATAATGAATTTGTCTACTAGTTTTCCAGAGGAATTGTGCAGTATCACAGATAAAAGGATTGCAGAAGAATTACTAAATTTGTTTCCGAGATACCCACTACCCACACAAATGCAATCGGACCAGGGATCAAATTTTACATCAAAACTATTTGATGAAGTTATGGGTGGTTTATGAATAAAACAATACAAATCGACTGTGTACTATACAGAATCGTAGGGAGCAACAGAATTGCGTTTTCAGACTTTAAAGACCATGTTGATGTTTTATAGTCAAGACTATCCAGACGATTGTGATAATGGAATTCCAGTTGTACTTTTCACAATTTAGCAATGCTCCTAATGAATCAACTAAATTCAGTCCACTTATTTTTTGTTTAGAATGAGGTGAGAGGGCTGCTGAAATTAATTAAAGAGAAATTAGTGGGTAAGAGTTCAGAGACCACATACTGGAAAATCATGAGTTCATTTGCTGCAAGTTTAGAACAGAAGTCAGAGAATGTAAAGAACAAACAACAAAAGAACAAAGAAAATTACAGCACAAGAACAGGCCCTTTGGCCCTCCAAGCCTGCGCCGATCCAGATCCTCTATCTAAACCTGTGGCCTATTTTCCAAGGATCTGTATCCCTCTGCTCCCTGCCCATTCATGTATCTGTCTAGATACAACTTAAATGACGCTATCGTGCCTGCCTCTACCACCTCCGCTGGCAATGCATTCCAGGCACCCACGACCCTCTGCGTAAAGAACTTTCCACGCATATCTCACTTAAACTTTTCCCCTCTCACCTTAAAATCGTGACCCCTAGTAAGTGAGTCCCCCACTTTGGGAAAAAAGCTTCTTGCTATCCACCCTGTCTATATCTCTCATGATTTTGTAGACCTCAATCAGGTCCCCCCTCAACCTCCGTCTTTCTAATGTAAATAATCCTAATCTACACTAACTTTCTTCATAGCTAGCGCCCTCCAGACCAGGCAACATCCTGGTGAACCTCCTCTGCACCCTCTCCAAAGCACCCACATCATTTTGGTAATGTGGCAACCAGAACTGTATGCAGTATTCCAAATGTGGTCGAACCAAAATCCTATACAACTGTAACATGGCCTGCCAACTCTTGCACTCAATGCCCTGTCCGATGAATGAAAGCATGTCGTATGCCTTCTTGACCACTCTATCGATCTGCGTTGCCACCTTCAGCGTACAATGGACCTGAACACCCAGATGTCTCTGTGCATCAATTTTCCCCAGGGCTTTTCCATTTACTGCATAGTTTGCTCTTGAATTGGATCTTCCAAAATGCATCACCTCGCATTTGCCTGGATTGAACTCCATCTGCCATTTCTCCGCCCAACTCCCGAATCTATCTATAACGTAAGTGTGATTGATTTTTTTTACCTGTGTGACTTCCTGCACTGAGATGTGATACTACCACCTCTCACCAATGTTCTGCTTCTCACATGTCCTCTGGGTTCTTTTTTTAATAGTTCCATTCTCCCATTGTCCAGGAAATATTAAATCAGCTCTCTTATCTAAAGTCAGAACCTCACCACCTGACGGAGGGAAGCTTTTCAACCTGCCATTCAATAGTTTTCTGAACACGCTTTCATTTCATTCTGTGCACATTTAAACTTAATAAATGGATAAATTTAATTTTGTTGTTCACATGTTGTAATAAATACAGCACCAACCACCTTTGTATGTTTCTTTTCATTGTTTGCATTATGTGAATTGGGATTTTGGAATCTGGTCAAGCACAAGTGGGGATCAGAGTTTACATCATCATGCAAGTTAAAAACAAAAAGATGAGATGAAGTTGCAGCTTTCAAGCCCACACCATCATGTCCAGCATATCACAAACATCACAAATCGAACGAAGTCGATGTTAAAGACATACATTGGAATCAAAGGTGGGTGCCGCATTCATCCCTATGTTCAATTGAAGGAAAGAACAACCAATGTAAAACAGACTTGAAGGTTCATAACATGGAATTTCTGCAGGGTACGAGGGATGGTAAACATCTGGAGCCGAAAGTTTCCAGCCCACAAGTGGAAGCACTTCATATATTTACGTGATACCTGTAGCGGGCAGCATTCTGGAGAATCAGAATGAACAAGAATTGATACTTAAGGCTGTATCAGAGATAGTAGGAACTGCAGATGCTGGAGAATCTGAGATAACAAGGTGTAGAGCTGGATGAACACAGCAGGCCAAGCAGCATCATAGGAGCAGGAAGGCTGCAATAGGGTTAGGGTTAGGGTTAGGGTTAGGATTAGGGTTAGGGTTAGGGTTAGGGTTAGGGTTCTCCTATGATGCTGCTTGGCCTGCTGTGTTCATCCAGCTCTACACCTTGTTACCTCTTGATACTTAAGGCAATAGGCCTCTTAAGGTCCCATCACCGCAGGTGGAGGGATTTGAATTACATAAAATATAGCCGCATGGTGATCATGAAACTTGTGTCGACAATCACAACAACCTGTATGGTTCACTAAGGTCCTTTAGGGAAGCAAATCTACACTCTTAACCTAGTTTGGGCCTGCATGTGACTTTGTGCTCACCGTAATGTGGTTGATTCTTAGCTGCATCATTTGCAATCAGCAACGAGCAATAAAAACTATTCTGGCCATAAATGACCACATCTCGTGATTAAACAAAACAAAGACCTAAATATTGACATTGCTGGTTTGGGAAAGAAACAGCTGTTTTAGGGAAATGTTTTGTCAAAAATCAGATCAAAAAGAATCAGATCAAGCAAAGTTAGAATCACCGAATTAGGCCAATGGAAAAGCTACCCAGGGATCGTGGCTTTCTGCAGAACTTTGGAAGTGTGTGGAAATTTCTGTGTTGAGCAGATGAAAATGAAGTCGCAGGAACACTGTTGGAAATGTGCATGATTGAGATGGATGGTCATTGTTCAATTGGATTCTCTAAGGTCTAGGCAAACCCAACGAATTTCATACCAGTTGACATCGATAGCAGATTGTGGGAGGGAGGTCGGTCAGGATTATATCTGTTTAGTTATAAATTAAAAGTGGAGATTATAATCGGTGCACTATAATCAGATAAATACCTGCAGTGGAATAGTAGTGGCAAAGATATCAATGTTGTGCTTTCATACTTATCTCGTGAAGTCGTCCACAATAATACCTCGGCTTCAATCATGCATGTCACGATTAATGATGCCCATGGAAAGATGCAATGTGAGCTTGACATAACTGACAATGACAGCATTGACTGCCAATTTCCTATTGCCTTTGATGAAAAGGTCATAAACTGTATTCTTGATGGAAACTGCATGACGTCTTTGTTAATTGAATAAGCAACCACATTGTGATATATATGGTCTTTGACAAAGATCAAAGTTATTTGTTGCTGCCACTTTTCTCTCTTCAATTATACTCAAGAAGCATTTTTATGAAGTTGCAATTTCACACCCAATTTGTTTTCTATGTATACACGAACACACGCACACACTCACACACATATATATTCTATATGTATTCAGATTTTCAGCTTTAACATTATATTTGTGCACTAATTTGTCCAGTGGTCCGCTAATAGAACCATATTCTGATTAAAAGTTGAAGTTACATAGTATGTTTCTGAACAGCACTGGACTCCACGTCGGCTCCAGAAAATCTTAGAAATTAATCATTGCAAACATTGTTGAACACAAGTGATCACATTTGTCCTGCTTGTTTAATTTGTGTCTATCACAACGTTCTGATTAAATCTTGATCTTTGGAAAACTTATGGTCCATCTGTTAAATTATTTTTATCGCAAACACTGTTGTTGATCTAACGTGTTTGTTCAAGGAGTTGTGACTAATAACAAAGAGCTGCGATGTAAACGTGTTACCGGAGAGGTGTCAACTCTATAAATTAAGTCTCAAAGGAAAGGATTAGCTCAGAGTGCTGGATGGGGCTGTTGTTTCCTGAACCATCAGAAATTGTTGTTTCTGTCAGAAATGAGATATTCAGTAATTTATTTGATACAAGATATTTACTATCCCATTCTTGCAGCTGTTGGAGTTCCCAGTAAGTCGATATCGCAGATGTGTTATAGGCATCAATTATGATAACGTGTTCATTCTTTACCTGTACTATGGTGTTATTTCTTATTTACAAAGCACAACTGTCTGTTCTGTTTCAATATTTGACTGAAGGCATATGCTCAATATTTACTTCCAGGGTTTTAAGAACTACATTTTCTTTAAGTTGATTTGAGTTTGGTATTGTTACTGAATCATTCATTCCCCACATGCATGTTCAGAATTAAGTTTTTGGCAAAGAGCAGTAAACAGACCACGAGTTAATGTTAATACTTTCACGCTGTGAAACAAATCAGTTTTAAGACACCTCTTAGAATGACAAGATGGGAAGTGCAATGTCGCTGTCCCCCAACCACTCTCCAGAAATAACATGGCATAGTTGAAATGAGATTTGTTTGTATTTACGTATTTGAATTACTGTCATTAGTTTAATTTAATTATCTCTGCAGCTGACGCTGTTTGAAACAAAAACACTGACCAGTGAAATTGAGGTTGCCACTGACTGATTCATATATCTTCGATTTCACATTGGATCTATCTACTGTCTGAAGCCAGCATTTTAATCTGAAACACGCTGACGAGAATGGCAAAAAACATCACCACCACCAAATGTCATATAATATATTCACAGGGCACATGTTCACCACCTTAGTGCTTGGTGGTGCCCATTCTTGCTCAGTATATTTTCGAATGGAAAGGTAGTTCAAGTTTGAAAGATAGGTGATGCCCGCTCTTTCAAGCTGCTGCTTTGCAATAAACCCAGAATTGGCTTTCTCAGAATTGGAAATGCAGCCATAAATCCAGAAAAAAAAAACAAAACAACAATTTGGCAAGCATGCAAATGCGTAATATGGCATATGCTTATTAAAGCTGATATAATGCCGTGTATGTAGACGGCACTTCTGAATGCCTGGCAGACTGCATCAAACAACAAGTTCCATCAGCTATTTGCACACAGCATCATGCCTGTCATGGTCAATAACGTTACGTTTGCAAACCTCAGAACAGTATAGCCAGAATGAAATGTGACTCTGCTGTTGAAAATAATTTGTTAAATAACTTGGTTTTGACAACATTTGCACTTGAAATGAAATTAAAATCGTCAGATACGTTTGTGATGTGATGTATTTGCATATGCGTGCAAAATATATTAATATACCAGATACTTTTTTTTATCTGTAGTCATCGGTGATTTCAACATACACTCCAAGCAGAATCTACGTCATTTGATATTTAAGATTGAGAGAACACTACTTATCACACCCCTCCCTTTCTATGTAAATTGACGTCTCTTTTTCGGTCTGTTTCTTGTGCCCTATTTCTCACATGTACAAGGCAAAAGGGCTCTGAAATTTTCTGCTTTCAGCAACAGTTGACGTTTGAGTATATTAATGAGTTGTATTACTAGATTAATATTAACGTTCCTCTCATAATGACCTGTCATGCATTTTTGTAAATCACACCTTGTTTACTCATTCTTAACCCACTGCTTTGTATTATGAAGTTTACAGATCTATCTGTTCATGCCCATCCCTCTCCTCCAGATCTTTGCCTGTTTTTGCTGTTGTCTCTGTCTCAATATCACTCCATTGTCTTGTATGTAACCGCCTCCTAAAGGTAAATTCAAAAGATCAAAGGCAAATATGTGACTCCCAAACATTTTTGCATATAATAACTCTTTGCATTTGCTTTACGACGAGGAAATAGCCTAACTGTAGATTGGTCAGTTCACAAACATCTTTGACTATTCGGCGGGTGTGCAATTCCGTGTTTAATCCTTTAGCATCTGGCTGTTTGTGTACTACCATACATTCCATGTTGACCCGAAAGACTCTCCAATACCTCAGTTGATCCAATTTTATATTTATTGATGCTTGCATCATTTTCACTTTTGATAATTGTGTTTCAAACACTACAATGTGCATCGCTTGTGAGAGAAGCAAATGTACAGATCTCATGCAGCGTCATATCAAATTGGTTCTTTATATAGAAGTGTGATGATGTTACTGATGTTTTTCTTCTCTCTTCCAGCTAACATGGTTACAATTGCGATACTGTCCAGAGGAAAGTGCGGTCTGTCTAAATGTATAACTTGCTACCTGGTGGGTATGGCAGTAGCCGATCTCCTGGTCATAATCAGCGATCCCATTTTAAGTTGGATTGGTGCTAAATATTTCCCAGATTCATTTCTACATATCACTCCAGTGTGCAGTCTCACTGCAGTCCTGGCTTCTGTAGCCACAGTGGTTTCTGTCTGGTTGACAGTTGCTTTTACCTTTGATCGGTTTGTAGCCATTTGTTGTGAGAAGCTAAAAAGAAAATATTGCACAGTGAAAACGGCAGCGGTGATTGTAGGAACAGTGAATGTGCTAAGTTGTTTAGAATCTGTACCCTGGTATTTTACATATCAGCCACTATATATAGTTGATAATATTCCTTGGTATTGTCCCTATACATCTGCATTTCTTTTTTCCTCGACATGGGCGGCATTTGAAATGTTTCATTACATTTTGACGCCTTGTGTCCCATTTCTTCTTATTTTACTACTCAATGTTCTGACAGTCAGGCGTATTATAGTGAGCAGTCGAGTGCGTCAGGGACTCCAGGGTATCAGCAAAGGAGAAAATCACAAGGACCCAGAGCTTCAGAACCGAAAGAAATCCATTGTTTTACTCTTCAGTATATCCAGCAGTTTTATTCTGTTATGGATAACCCGAGTTGTGTATAACCTTTATCGACGAATTACAATCGTCCGCTTTTATTATTCTACCAATGACCCTCGCCTTATCACAGATCGAGTTTCAGTTATGTTGCAAGCTCTCAGCTCTTGCACTAACACGTGTATTTATGTTGTGACTCAGAGTAAATTCAGAGAAGAACTGAAGAACACGGTGAAATACCCACTCAAATCTATGTTCAAATTAGTAAAACCATAAAATGAGCCAAATTATCTTAGCATTGGAAACATCTCGGCAAAAAATAATGGTGTTCAGAACGTACTCTAAGGAAAGCATCTTCCTGTCGGTGATTTGTAATGTTATCCAGACTCCACTGCGATTTAACCTCCTAATTTGAACGTGGACGGCGTTCTGATCTGAAATAGTAGACACATGCAGAAGAGAAAATATTCGAAGCAACTCAGTTCTGAAGAACAATAATGATAGACTCGACGGATTAATGTGTTTCTATCTTGACAAGTGGTGCCAGACGTGCTCAGACGCTTCTGTATTCTCTGTGTTTATTTTAGAAGATGAACAGTATTTTGTTTTTTTTTTAACTCCCTTATTGATATGTGTTCTGTCTACTCGGTCTCACTTCCGTATATTAATTCCAGAACTGCACCCCTTCCCCCAGTACTTTGGGCTTAGAATATACGGTCTACTAAAGTTTTACTTGTTGCAATTAAACACATTTCTTCCTTTTCTACTTTGCAGATTAAAACTGTCCAAGGTCATAATTCAGAATTTAAAGTCACCTCATGTTAAGTGTATGTTGTTGTTAGAAGGTTTTGTCTGTAGAAGGTTTTGTCTGATAGTTGAGTTCTCCCTTTGGCTTCTGCCGCTGAATGAAATTCCTACTCTGCGCATTTAGAATTTTGCTGTAAAACAGCATAGTCCATTCACAAAGGAAAGTCACTGCTCGTCTATGTAAAACATTCCAACCTCAGGATTTACATTTCTGGTTGACCAATTGGGTGAGTCAGTAATGCTCACAACTCTGAATAATACACTTTGAAGGCACTTGACTAAATTGAATTTCCACTTTCCTAATGAGTAGTGAAACCTGAACTCCTCTCCATCATCTTGGCTGCTGTCCTGTGGAGATGTTTGGTATCAGCAAGCTCTTTGAGAAGGCATCTCAAAGAGATTGGTTCAGTCTATTCCATCCTGATGGGGCCCAAGAGAAATTTAAATTTGGATACAATGTTAAATCACAGGCAGGGAACAAATTCCAATGGTTGTCTTATACCTCCAACCAAGACGTTCTGTTATTAATGTTATCGACCAGACCAGACCCCTTAAAATATATGAAGTTGATAGCATAGACTCAAACTTTTTCTTATTTTATAGGTTAGTGTAAGGCGTTGCGTTCCAGATGCAATTCAATTGGTGAAACTACTCGACTTTAAGCAAAACACACTTATTTTTTACACGACAGTTCAAATACAGACAAAATAGAAATACATTTTATAAAGGCTTATCTGTAACTCTGTAGAAATGCTTGCAAAATAATAAATATATTAACTACTACTACTCAACTTTTCCAAGATAGTAACATCTCATAAACATACCCTTGTCAAAGACAAATTCAGTAAAAATAGATTGGTCACATGCAATGCATGCAAATCTTGAACCCAAGATTTTAGGTGTAGCGGAGAGAGGAATAAGAGCTTTCACATCCAGCTTCAAGACTCCATTAACTTCAAAATGCCAAAACTAAAAAATCCTGGTCCTGTGGGGACTTGACCCCATCCATTCAGGCTGCTTCTATTGTTCCAACTTAAAAAAAAAAGAACAGCCACACATGATGTTTACTTCATTAGCTTTGAGAAGATCGCTTGACAGCCGTGATTCAACTTTCTTCATTAATACAAGGAGAAAATACACCTCTTAACATCACAGTATGGTCACAACTCCCTGTTAAAAAAAATGAAACATCAATCCACAAAGATTGTTTCATTTTTAAAGAAGTTTAGCATTATGCAATTAATACACCAAAATACATATACATTACATTAACTGTAAGCATGCAAGCTTTCACTACCACAATCCGTTTAAGTCAACCTTTCCCACCAACTAACACGTCCATCTTTCTTCAACAAAGTTGTGAAAACTCATTGGCAATTAGTTCTCTTGTTCTGGCAAGTGTATAATTTCCAAATTGAATGGTTGCAAAAATAAGCGTCTTCTGAACAGTCTGGCATTTTTATCTTTTTTTAACGAAAACTTTAAGGGATTACAATCAGGTATATAACTAACTCAGACACATTACCCGTCAATACAAGTGATGAAATGTTGCGATGCAAACATTAAATTCGAGGTGTACTTTTCAATTGAAGAATATTTCTGTTGATAATAATTCAGTTTTCTGGAAAAAAAGTCCTAACTCATAGGGGTTTACAACTTCTCGTCATTTTCTTGCAAGAATACACCGCTAACAAGCACAGCATGTCCATTGATAGCTACGTTGGATGGCTTGGCGAAATTAACTGTGGCTGAGGCTGGTGCAGTGAATGGCACAGTGCTCAGACTGTCATTGGGTACCATTTAGTTTTTGTACCATTACGATGGGTGAGATCCATTCACCGCAATTCACTTCAATGATATTGTCTTGGAGAACGTGTTCAATCTCTTTTTGAACCTGTGCCAACCTTAAATTTTTAGGTCTGTAACAATGTTGCTTAAATGGAACAACATTTCATGTATCTCTACCAGGCATAATCAAATTGGTATTTGCCAGTTTATTCCGACATATGTCCCCATGAGGATGCATTAACTCTTTCACGTTGTTTCGATTTTCCTCTGCAAAACCACTCAATAATGTATGCAGAATTTTGAGACCTTCCCGGTTGTCCAATTTGATTTGAATCATGTCCAATTCAGGATAATCTGAACTTGGAGAGAGCAAGAACTGCAGATGCTGGATTCAGAGTCAATACAGTGTGAGGCCGGAGGAACACAGCAGGTCAGGCAGCGTCAAAGGAGCAGGAAAGTCGACATTTCGGGTTCTAAACATGATTCTTCACTCTGTGTTTTAATGACGAATGCACTCCCCTTTTGCTTTCCTCTCGCATCAAAATACATTTTGAGCATGTTCACATGACACAGTCTGTGAGATTTATTTCTATCTGGCATTCTTTTCAAATAATTCACCTCACTCAATTTCCTTTCGATGTGCTCAGGCCCATAAAGCTTGCCTTTAAAGGTTCACCTACAACAGGGAGTAACACCAACACTTTATGTCTGTTGGCAAAATTATGAATTTTGATTACTTACCTGTTTCCTGTTTCATCACATGTTGTGCTACTTTGAAATGCTGTCTCACCAACTCATGTGCTAAAATTGATCTTTGCTTAAAACTTGACAGATGATCCAAATATGTAGTTTGTGAACTGTGACTAACTAATTTCTCCTGAATTAATTTCAGTTGTCCTCTCACCTCGTGCCCAAAAACTTATTCAAATGGACTGAATTTAGTTGATTAATTAGGTGTGTTCCTTAGCTACAAATGAAATTCATTTATCCCAGTCCTCTGCATGGTCTTAACTATCAAACCCCAAACGTGTCTTTAAATTCAAAGATTCGTTGCAATTCTGGATGATACGCAGTGAATATGAATTATTTTATTACTCAACTATCCATAACATCCTTGAATAATTTTGACGTGAAATTTGACTCTTGTTGTGGACCAGAACATAGCCACTTAAAATATTTTAAGAATATAGCCTAACCCCAAACGTGTTCTTCTTTTAAATCCAGATATAATGTGCTGTGTTCCATATGTAGCTCGGTTGGTGAAACTACTCGACATTAAACATGATACAGTTTCAGAAAGAAAGAGAAATGTAGAATAACTTAACTCTATTAGAAAACTTAAGAGAACAAGAGATACAGCAACTATTGCTAAATAAAATATTCCAATGTATTAACATCCCATAAACACAACTTTTGATCAAAAGGCAGTTATCCACTCCAGGCAGAAAAAATCATCAAGAAAAAATTCTGAGAGAGTATTAGCTAGGAGACATTTACTGAAACTTCCAACTCTGCTGAGATCCAAACAGCTTCTGATGCTCCTGAAGAACGAATTCCTAGCAATCCTGACCCATGAGTGCAGGTCACAGCCATTCAAGACAGTTAAAAATAAGTCCCAAGCTGTTTACTCAAGTGATCTTCGCTAGCCAGCACTTTTGCCTTACAACCTCTCTTCAAAATAATAGGACAAATAACCCTTTAAAAACACAACATTGGCTCACCTCCCGCTTAAAAAAAAAACACCAATATACAAAAATGGCTTCGTTTATAAAAAAAAACTTTTGTCTTACTCTATTAGTGAACTACAATACATGTACATTACATTGATTCTAAGCATGCAAGCATTCACTACCAAAATTTACTCCCACCACTGAACTCCTCCTTCCTTCTTCAGCAAAGTTGCGACACTACATCAACAATTATGTTCTCTCATCCTGTCACGCGGATAATTTTCATTTGAATGGCTGCAATTATAAGCTCCATCTAAACAGTCTGGTATTTTTGCCCTTAAATTTCACCAAAAACTTTAATCGGTTATGATCTGTATATACACTTATCTCAGGACATATTGCTGTCAATATAAATGTTGAAATGTTGTGAAGCTACTACCAGGCTCAAGCTTTCCTTCTCAATCATGGAATATTTCTGACGGTGATTCTTCAATTTTCTGGGAAAAAAAAAATCCTCAACAGATCTTTCTATTTTCTCGTTGTCTCCTTATAAGTACAGGAGTTACACCCACATTACTCACACTGACAGCCACCTAGAATTGCTTTGTGCAATTAACTGCGGTTAACACTGGGTCAACAGTTGACACAGCTTCCAAGCCATAAAATGCCTCTGACAGTCTGCTGACCACTGAAATGTTCTGCAATTCTTCAATAACTCAGACAGCTGAACAATCACACTGCTAAAATTCAGTACGAACTTCTGATAAGACCCAGTCCATCACAGGAATTGTAGCACTCCCCTCTTCATCGATGGTATGGGAAACTCCCCAACAACTTTTGTTTTCACATCCGGGAAGAGGGGTGGGGTATCTATCCATGTCTAATGACATGTTCCAGTACTGTGACTGTTTTTTGCAAACTCACTATTAACTGTGTTTATCAACAAATCTGTCCGCCAAAGTTGATGGAAAAATTCAAATCAATGTTCCAAATGTTCCTTCCATGTGTGAC